GCCAACTGGGTTCTATCATATTTACACTTGAAACTGTGTATGGAGTCAGCCTCCACCACATCACTGCCTAATACATTCCATCTGTTACCTACTCTGACACTAATAAAGTTCTTTCTAACGTCTCTATGGCTCATTTGGGTACTCCCCTGAGAATTTTATATGTAGTGATCATGTCTTCCCGAACTCTCCTGTCTTTCAGCTACGTGAGGTGCATTTCCCCACAGCCTTTCCTCGTAACTCATGCCTCTTTGTCCTGGGACTAGTCTAGTGGCATACCTCTGAACTTTTTCCAGCTTCATCTTGTGCTTGATGGGGTACGGGCTCCATGCTGGTGCCGCATACTTCAGCATTGGTTTTACATATGTGGTGTACAAGATTCTGAATGATTCCTTACACAGGTTCCTGAAAGCTGTTCTGATGTTAGCCAGCCTCGCATATGCCGCAGACGTTATTCTTTTTATGTGGGCTTCAGGAGACAGGTTTGGTATGATATCAACTCCTAGATCTTTCTCTCTGTCCGTTTCATGAAGTACTTCATCTCCTTTTCTGTATCCTGTGTCTGGCATCCTGTTTCCACCGCCTAGTTTCATTACTTTGCATTTACTCGGGTCGAACTTTAGCAGCCATTTGTTGGACCATTCATTCAGTCTGTCCAGGTCATCTTGTAGCCTCCTACTATCATCCTCTGTTTCAATCCTCCTCATAATTTTTGCATCATCAGCAAACATTGAGAGAAACGAGACTATACCCTGTATAGACTCTATTTAACTGTATAGACTCTATAGTATAGACTATACTATATAGACTATAGACCCTGTATAGACTATATAGACTCGGTATATACCTATACCGAGTGTGTGTGTGTGTACTCACCTATTTGTGCTTGCGGGGGTTGAGCTCTGGCTCTTTGGTCCCGCCTCTCAACCGTCAAACCACAGGTGTACAGGTTCCAAAGTCTATTGGACTCTATCATATCTACACTTGAAACTGTGTATGGAGTCATCCTCCACTACATCACTGCCTAATGCATTCCATTTGTCAACCACTCTGACACTAAAGAAAGTTCCTTCTAATATCTCTGTGACTCATTTGGGCACTCAGTTTTCACCTGTGTCCCCTAGTGCGTGTGCCCCTTGTGTTAAATAGCCTGTCTTTGTCTACCCTATGAATTCCCTTGAGAATCTTGAATGTGGTGATCATGTCCCATCTAACTCTTCTGTCTTCCAGCGACGTGAGGTTTAATTCCCGTAGTCTCTCCTCGTAGCTCATACCTCTCAGCCCGGGTACTAGTCTGGTGGCAAACCTTTGAACCTTTTCCAGTTTAGTCTTATCCTTGACCATATATGCTGGGGCTGGGGCTGCATGCTGGGGCTGCATACTCCAGGATTGGCCTGACATATGTGGTATACAAAGTTCTGAAGGATTCCTTACACAAGTTTCTAAATGCCGTTCTTTTTTGGCCAGCCAGGCATATGCCGCTGATGTTATCCTCTTCATATGGGCTGCAGGGGACAAGTCTGGCATGATATCAACCCCCAGGTCTTTTTCTCTCTCTGACTCATGAAGAATTTCATCTCCCCAGATGATATCTAATATCTGGCCTTCTGCTCCCTACACCTATATTCATTACATTACATTTGCTTGGATTAAACTCTAACAACCATTTGTTCGGCCATTCCTTCAGCTTGTCTAGGTCTTTTTGAAGCCTCAAGGAGTCCTCCTCTATCTTAATCCTTGTCATAATTTTGGCATCGTCAGCAAACATTGCGAGAAAGGAGTCTATACCCTCCGGGAGATCATTTATATATATCAGAAACAGGATAGGACCAAGTACAGAGTCCTGTGGGACTCCACTAGTGACTTCACGCCAATCTGAGTTCTCACCCCTCACTGTAACTCTCTGCTTCCTATTGCTTAGGTACTCCCTTATCCACTGGAGCACCTTACCAGCTACACCTGCCTGTCTCTCCAGCTTATGTACCAGCCTCTTATGCGGTACTGTGTCAAAGGCTTTCCGACAATCCAAGAAAATGCAGTCCGCCCAGCCTTCTCTTTCTTGCTTAATCTTTGTCACCTGGTCATAGAATTCTATTAAGCCAGTCAGGCAAGATTTATCCTCCCTGAACCCATGTTGGTGGTTTGTCATGAAGTCCCTTCTCTCCAGATGTGTTACTAGGTTTTTTCTCACAATCTTCTCCATCACCTTGCATGGTATACAAGTCAAGGGCACTGGCCTGTAGTTCAGTGCCTCTTGCCTGTCGCCCTTTTTGTATATTGGGACCACATTCGCCATCTTCCATATTTCTGGTAGGTCTCCCGTCTCCAGTGACCTACTATACACTATGGAGAGTGGCAAGCAAAGTGACTCTGCACACTCTTTCAGTACCCATGGCGAGATCCCGTCTGGACCAAAAGCCTTTCTAACATCCAGATCCAGCAGGTGTCTCTTGACCTCATCTCTTGTAATTTCGAACTCTTCCAAGGCCGCCTGGTTTACTTCTCCCCTCTCCTAACGCAGTGACCTCACCTTGTTGTATTGTGAAGACCTCCTGGAACCTCTTGTTGAGTTCTTCACACACCTCTTTGTCATTCTCTGTGTACCTGTCCTCACCCGTTCTAAGTTTCATTACCTGTTCCTTCACTGTTGTTTTCCTCCTGATATGACTGTGGAGTAGCTTTGGTTCGGTCTTGGCTTTTTTTGCTATATCATTTTCATAATTTTTCTCTGCTTCTCTTCTCACCCTGACATACTCATTCCTGGTTCTCTGGTATCTCTCTCTGCTTTCTGATGTTCTGTTTTTCCGGAAGTTCCTCCACGCCCTTTTGTTCAGCTCCTTTTCTTCCATACATGCCCCATTAAACCACAGATTCTTCTTTTGCTTCTCGGATTTTTCCTTTTGGGTCAGGATAAACCTGTTTACTGCCTCCTGACACTTTTGGTTGACTTAGTCCATCATATATTGTAAAGACTTAGCTCTGAGGTCTGTGTCCCAAGGTATTTCCCTTAGGAAACTTCTCATCTCCTCATAATTCTCCTTTCGGTATGCCAGCCTTTTGTTTCCTAGTTTTTTTTTTTTGGGGGGGGGAGATAATTCTTAGCTCTACCAGGTACTGAAAGATCAATACACTGTGATCACTCATTCCCAAGGGCGCTTCCATCTTACCTTCCCTTATATCCCACTCATTTAGGGTAAATATCAGATCGAGCATGGCTGGTTCATCTTCTCTCATTCTTGTTGGTTCCTTGATGTGCTGACTTAGAAAGTTTCTTGTTGCCACGTCCAGCAGCTTAGCTCTCCATGTTTTTGGTCCTCGATGTGGGTCTCTGTTCTCCCAATCTATCTTCCCATGGTTGAAGTCTACCATGATTAGTAGTCCAGATCCATTCCTGCTAGCAACAGAAGCTGCTCTCTCTATTATGTTAATGGTGGCCATGTTGTTTCTATCATATTCCTGTCTGGGTCTTCTGTCATTTTGTGGGGGATTATATATGACTACGACTATAATTTTTTGTCCTCCAGTTGTTATGGTACCTGTTATGTAGTCACTGAAACCTTCACTGCCTTGAATAACCATCTCCTCAAAATTCCAGCCTTTTCTTACCAGCAGAGCTACACCACCCCCACCTCTTCCTTCTCTCTCTTTCCTCACAATAGTCCTGTGGGAACACTGCATTTGTTATTGTTTTTGTTAGCTTTGTTTCTGTGAGTGCTATTATGTCTGGGTTTTCTTCTAGTACCCATTTTCCAAGTTCATTTGCTTTATTTGTAATTCCATCTATGTTAGTATACATTGCCTTGAGGCTCACTTTCTTCTGTCCCTTCTCATATCGCTGCCTTGGTGAGTGTTCTGCTGGTGGGGGAAGCTGTTCCATGGGTGTGGATTTTTGTGAGGTGGATAACAAGGTCTCAGAGAATACTGGGGTGAGGAGTGGGGGATCAAGTGAAAGTGGGACAGGGTGGGTATGGGATGAAGGGGGGAGGGAGGACTGGAAGGAAAAGAGGGGAGGGGGGATACATGGCAGGAGGGGAGGGGTAGCAGGGTGGGGATGAGGTGTGGGGGGAGGGAGATTTGGTTGAGCATTTGAGTGGAGGCAGGGAGGGTTTGGGGTAGGGGGTTTTCTATGCAGAGGAGGGTGGTGTGGTTGCCCTCCAATCTGGTGTTACTGGGTAGTCAGTTGTGGATTGCCCCCTCACCTCTGGGGATGTTGTGTTGGGAGCTGTGATTTCCTGCTTTTCCACTCTCGCCCTGCGCTTTTTCCTTGCTTCTATCGCCATGGATCTCTCCTTCCTCGTCATGTCCCTCTGGAGGAATACTTTTTTAATTCTCCCACAATTTGCAGGTGACTTTTCTTTGTTAGAATTTTCTCCTTTGTGTTTTCGTTTGCGAACACTATCTTTAACAGACGGTCTCGGTCTTTGTTGTACCAGCCTAGCCTGAAAACCTTTTCAATGCTATGCTCAACCTCTTCCATCTCTAGTGCCTTCAGAATTTCATTAACTGCCGCTTTGTCCTTATCATTCCAGTTTGTCCTATTGGAACCTTCCTGCTCTTTAATACTTACAGCTGCCACTGATCATTTTCTTTCCAGCAGCTGGCTAGTGGAGCGTGGTACTTCCTGTGAGGTGGTTGCTGTCATGGCTACCTCCATAACTGTGGACATTACTTCAGTGTGTGTGTGTGTGTGTGTGTGTGTGTGTGTGTGTGTGTGTGTGTGTGTGTGTGTGACAGAGAGAGAGAAAGAGAGAGAGAGAGAGAGAGAGAGAGAGAGAGAGAGGAGAGAGAGAGAGAGAGAGAGAGAGAGAGAGAGAGAGAGAGAGAGAGAGAGAGAGAGAGAGAGAGAGAGAGAGAGAGAGAGAGAGAGAGAGATTGGGTTGTGAGACTCTTGGTGGTGGATGAGAATAGGAGGAGGAGGAGCAAGAGGAGGAAGGAGGAGTCCTACCAACCCAACGACCATGGTTGCCGCCCAAGCCTTGGGTTAATGTAGTCGTATAACCTACCTAGTGACTTTGGGCGGGGCTGGGGGCGTGTCCTGGGGGCGGGGGAACGAAGTCTCGTCCTGGGGGCGGGGGACGAAGTCTCGTCCTGGGGGCGGGGGACGAAGTCTCGTCCTGGGGGCGGGGGGACGAAGTCTCGTCCTGGGGGCGGGGGACGAAGTCTCGTCCTGGGGGCGGGGGACGAAGTCTCGTCCTGGGGGCGGGGGACGAAGTCTCGTCCTGGGGGCGGGGGGACAAAGTCTCATCCTGGGGGCGGGGGACGAAGTCTCGTCCTGGTGGCGGGGGGACGAAGTCTCGTCCTGGTGGCGGGGGGACGAAGTCTCGTCCTGGGGGCGGGGGACGAAGTCTCGTCCTGGGGGCGGGGGGACGAAGCCTCGTCCTGGGGGCGGGGGACGAAGTCTCGTCCTGGGGGCGGGGGGACGAAGACTCGTCCTGGGGGCGGGGGGACGAAGACTCGTCCTGGGGAGGCATGAATGATGTGTCTTGGTTAGATTATATTGTAAAATATTTGTTAAAGTATTTGTTAATTGTTAGTCAATATTGGCTTAGAAAATATAATATTGCTACAGGAAATGTCACATCCAGCTATATTGTCTTCCAAATTAAACTTATACATTATACCCACATTAACAGTCAACTTGATCATGTTCTATCACCATTGTGCACTGTCCCGGCCTTGTCAGCTTCTCCCTCACAGAGTACGACAGATGTTGACCAGTTGGAAGGTCCCACAACACTCACGTTGTCTTGGGGAAAGTATGGTGAAGTTTTCAGTTTTATTATTATTTTCTGGCACAGACGTGGCCACACATATACAGTGCTAAGTAGCATATATACATTTTCCTGTGGTTAGTGTTGTAAAGTTGTAGCCATGTGTGTGGAGGAGGTGTGTTAATGTTGTGGTGGCAGGCGGGCCGTGGTGGCGCAGGCTCAAGACCGGAGCTGGTCCTGTGGTGTGTGTGTGTGTGTGTGTGTGTGTGTGTGTGTGTGTGTGTGTGTGTGTGTGTGTGTGTGTGTGTGTGTGTGTGTGTGTGTGATCATCCTCCAGTAGCACCCGCGTCTCCGAAGAGGGAATGATCTTCCAATAATTGTCATCTATACATTCCCCATCACCACCTGCGTCTATCTCCACTACCACTCCACCGTCCCTCTATGGTATCGTCCCCTCCACCGTCCCTCTATGGTATCGTCCGCTCCACCGTCCCTCTATGGTATCGTCCCCTCCACCGTCCCTCTATGGTATCGTCCACTCCACCGTCCCTCTATGGTATCGTCCCCCCCACCGTCCCTCTATGGTATCGTCCCCTCCACCGTCCCTCTATGGCATCGTCCACTCCACCGTCCCTCTATGGTATCGTCCCCTCCACCGTCCCTCTATGGTATCGTCCACTCCACCGTCCCTCTATGATATCGTCCACTCCACCGTCCCTCTATGGCATCGTCCCCTCCACCGTCCCTCTATGGTATCGTCCCCTCCACCGTCCCTCTATGATATCGTCCACTCCACCGTCCCTCTATGGTATCGTCCCCTCCACCGTCCCTCTATGGTATCGTCCACTCCACCGTCCCTCTATGGCATCGTCCCCTCCACCGTCCCTCTATGGCATCGTCCACTCCACCGTCCCTCTATGGTATCGTCCCCTCCACCGTCCCTCTATGGTATCGTCCACTCCACCGTCCTCTATGATATCGTCCACTCCACCGTCCCTCTATGGCATCGTCCCCTCCACCGTCCCTCTATGGCATCGTCCCCTCCACCGTCCCTCTATGGCATCGTCCACTCCACCGTCCCTCTATGGTATCGTCCCCTCCACCGTCCCTCTATGGCATCGTCCCCTCCACCGTCCCTCTATGGCATCGTCCACTCCACCGTCCCTCTATGGTATCGTCCCCTCCACCGTCCCTCTATGGTATCGTCCACTCCACCGTCCCTCTATGGTATCGTCCACTCCACCGTCCCTCTATGGTATCGTCCCCTCCACCGTCCCTCTATGGCATCGTCCACTCCACCGTCCCTCTATGGTATCGTCCCCTCCACCGTCCCTCTATGGTATCGTCCACTCCACCGTCCCTCTATGATATCGTCCACTCCACCGTCCCTCTATGGCATCGTCCACTCCACCGTCCCTCTATGGTATCGTCCACTCCACCGTCCCTCTATGATATCGTCCCCTCCACCGTCCCTCTATGGCATCGTCCACTCCACCGTCCCTCTATGGCATCGTCCACTCCACCGTCCCTCTATGGTATCGTCCACTCCACCGTCCCTCTATGGCATCGTCCACTCCACCGTCCCTCTATGGCATCGTCCACTCCACCGTCCCTCTATGGTATCGTCCCCTCCACCGTCCCTCTATGGTATCGTCCCCTCCACCGTCCCTCTATGGCATCGTCCCCTCCACCGTCCCTCTATGGCATCGTCCCCTCCACCGTCCCTCTATGGCATCGTCCACTCCACCGTCCCTCTATGGTATCGTCCCCTCCACCGTCCCTCTATGGCATCGTCCCCTCCACCGTCCCTCTATGGTATCGTCCCCTCCACCGTCCCTCTATGGTATCGTCCCCTCCACCGTCCCTCTATGGCATCGTCCCCTCCACCGTCCCTCTATGGTATCGTCCACTCCACCGTCCCTCTATGGTATCGTCCACTCCACCGTCCCTCTATCCCCCACGGCTACACCATCACTACTCGTCTTTATATTGACCCATTTCACCTTCTTTCACACAACCACCTGCGGGGGGGGGGGGGGGCGGGGGGCCAAATGACGCCGTGTTCTTAAATATTTACAGTACAGGTGTGATTCATGTGTTGCATCGAGGGTTGCAACGTTGAGAATGACAGCTGTTTCACCTTACGACACACTGAACTGTGGACCACCAGCCCGGCCTCCTAAGATTTCCAAACGACAAGAAACTGTCGTTTTAAAATCCCGTATCCTAACCTACCAGAGGACCCAAAACAGAAAACGGGACAGTACGTCACTTTCGGGAGCCGATTTCATTTTCTATTACGACAATGTTTCACTTTAGATAGACTATACGTCAAAATGCGACGTTCTATTAGGAGGACGGGTTGGAACGACATCCCGGTAATTCCCGAGATCAGAATCACCGATATCAACTCAGGATCAACCCATGAACCAGAGTTGTAGACCACCAGCGTGCCATCTTTGCAGCACACCTCACACTGCTAGGTAGTCATAGCAATACTGTTAAATAATTAATTATGTGTGTACCGAAACCTGTCATCCATAGCTTGCTGGTCTTGCCAATTAATTAAATTCCAGCCTCGTAGCGTTCACTGTCACTGAAGCGTTAGATGTAATAATTATCAAGCACTGCTATAAGTAAGCACTGCCGTTATCAAGCACTGTCATTATCAAGCACCGCCGTTATCAAGCACTGCCGTTATCAAGTACTGTCATTATCAAGCACCGCCGTTATCAAGTACTGTCATTATCAAGCACTGCCGTTATCAAGCACTGTCATTATCAAGCACCGCCGTTATCAAGTACTGTCATTATCAAGCACTGCCGTTATCAAGCACTGTCATTATCAAGCACCGCCGTTATCAAGTACTGTCATTATCAAGCACCGCCGTTATCAAGTACTGTCATTATCAAGCACTGCCGTTATCAAGTACTGTCATTATCAAGCACTGCCGTTATCAAGCACTGTCATTATCAAGCACCGCCGTTATCAAGCACTGCCGTTATCAAGTACTGTCATTATCAAGCACTGCCGTTATCAAGTACTGTCATTATCAAGCACCGCCGTTATCAAGTACTGTCATTATCAAGCACTGCCGTTATCAAGCACTGTCATTATCAAGCACCGCCGTTATCAAGCACTGCCGTTATCAAGCACTGTCATTATCAAGCACCGCCGTTATTAAGTACTGTCATTATCAAGCACCGCCGTTATCAAGTACTGTCATTATCAAGCACCGCCGTTATCAAGTACTGTCATTATCAAGCACCGCCGTTATTAAGTACTGTCATTATCAAGCACCGCCGTTATCAAGTACTGTCATTATCAAGCACTGCCGTTATCAAGTACTGTCATTATCAAGCACCGCCGTTATCAAGTACTGTCATTATCAAGCACCGCCGTTATCAAGTACTGTCATTATCAAGCACCGCCGTTATCAAGCATTGTCTTTAGCAAGCACCCCCGTTATCAAGCACTGTCATTATCAAGCACTGTCATTATCAAGCACTGTCATTATCAAGCACTGTCATTATCAAGCACTGTCATTATCAAGCACTGTCATTATCAAGCACTGTCATTATCAAGCACTGTCATTATCAAGCACTGTCATTATCAAGTAGTGTCATTATAAAGCACTGTCATTATCAAGCACCGCCGTTATCAAGCATTGTCTTTAGCAAGCACCCCCGTTATCAAGCACTGTCATTATCAAGCACTGTCATTATCAAGCACTCATTATCAAGTACTGTCATTATCAAGCACTGCCATTATCAAGCACTGTCATTATCAAGCACTGTCATTATCAAGCACTGTCATTATAAAGCACTGTCATTATCGACCACTGTCATTATCGACCACTGTTATTATCATGCACTGTTATTGTCATGCACTGTCTTTATCATGCACTGTCATTATCAAGCACTGTCATTATCGACCACTGTCATTATCGACCACTGTCATTATCAAGCACTGTAATTATCGACCACTGTCATTATCGACCACTGTCATTATCGATCACTGTCATTATCAAGCACTGTCATTATCATGCACTGTCATGATTAAGCACTGTCATTATCATGCACTGTTATTATCATGCACTGTCGTTATCTGCCACTGTCATTATCAGTCACTGTCATTATCAGCCACAGTCGTTATCAAGCACTGTCATTATCAGGCACTGTCATTATCAGCCACTGTCATTATCAAGCACTGTCATATTATCAAGCACTGTCATTATCAAGCACTGTCATTATCAAGCACTGTCATTATCATGCACTGTCATTATCAAGCACTGTCATTATTAAGCACTGTCATTATCATGCACTGTCATTATCATGCACTGTCATTATCATGCACTGTCATTATCAAGCACTGTCATTATCATGCACTGTCATTATCATGCACTGTCATTATCATGCACTGTCATTATCATGCACTGTCAGTATCATGCACTGTCATTATCATGCACTGTCATTATCATGCACTGTCATTATCATGCACTGTCATTATCATGCTCTGTCATTATCAAGCACTGTCATTATCGACCACTGTCATTATCGACCACTGTCATTATCAAGCACTGCCATTATCGACCACTGTCATTATCGACCACTGTCATTTTCATGCACTGTCATTATCAACCACTGTCATTATCATGCACTGTCGTTATCATGCACTGTCATTATCATGCACAATCATTATCAACCACTGTCATTATCATGCACTGTCATTATCGAGCACTGCCATTATCATGCACTGTCATTATCAACCA